ACGCACGCACACACAAACACACACACACACACACACACACACACACACACACACACACACACACACACACACACACACACACACACACACACACACACACACACTTATAAACAGATAATAACATCGTATTGATATATGAGGTGTGATTGATTACTTGATCATAGGTTCCTCACAAGTGAGACTATTAGACGCCAAATACGATGCCGCCTTTAGCTTAGCAATGGGATTTGAAGGCACACAACCGTCATGTAGTCCGTATTGTATATAGCCAAACATTAGCTATTGACTTCTGTCTTAGAATCTCATTGCTTTTTGTCGAGGAAACCCTTGTGATAACTAACTTCTGGGTCAGGTAACAATAATACAACATCCCTGCAGCACTCTATTGTAACCTGTCAATATGGGAAACATGCTTTAGCTAAAGTATGATGCATGATCCCATGCTGCCCCCATGTGTGTGTTCAGACGAAGGAGGTGCTGCCGGACCCTGAGCTGGTGAGGAAGCTCAACTGGTTCCTCTCCCCTGCGCTGGCTCTGAGTGACGGCTCCTCTGGGGCCCCCTCCAGCCTGGAGCTCACCTACATCACTGACTTCTTTCTGGCTCTGGCCATCTGTAACAGCGTGGTGGTGTCCTCTGCCAGCCAGCCGCGACACGTGGTGGGTACATGTTAACTTCACAGCTAGGATCAAGATTCAATGTGTACTCTTTGTACTAGGCTTTCACTTGTTTATATGGCTTGGTTCACTTTAGCCTGTAGTACTGTCTGAACATGCTCTGATTAGCTGCTGAGTGCAATAAAGAAAATGGGAAAAAACCTTCTTTAGAGGAAATGCAGATTTAATTGATTTCTTACGGCCCCTACACACGGTGGCGTGCGTTGAAGCATGCCGGTGGGCGTGTCTGAAGCTTGAACAACAACCAATCACATGAATCTCCCGCCCCGGACACACAAGCACGCGGTTTGATTGGCTCGAGCTTGTACTGGCATATGATTTTATTGGCTGGCGCTTCCGTCGAAGCTTCAAAAGTAGAACATTGCTCAACTTTTGAAGCGAGCAATGCGAGCAAAGCGAAGCTTTGCACCCACACAATGCAGTTCGGCAAAGCGTGACGTCACCCCATTCAAAGTGAATGGGCAGGAGCGTTGAAGCTTCAACGCACACCGCCGTGTGTAGGAGCTGTTAGAGTAGTACATGACACACACATACTGTACACTTGTTGTCTAGCAAGTCTTTTTATGGACTTGTCCTTTAGCAGGAGTACTCTCTTGTAGAATTGTCTTCTACATTGACAATTTATATTCATTGTTGTGCTCATCATTCAGTGAGCTATTTTTAGAAAGTGCACGCAAGACCTGGTAGCGTGCACGTGTCCACAGAGCAGTGTTTCCTGCTCTTCCGTGGCGATGACAGCTTGCAGTTAAAAAAATAATAAACACATTTGAAAGTGGGGGGACACAAACTGTCCCCAGTGGAAATGAAGCCCATGGGTGTTAATTCATCTGTTTTGGGGATTGGCTGTGGAAGAACGTGAGGGGAGGGGCCTGGAAATGTTTTAGATTTCTTACATAAGTCGATCCCATTCTCTTTTTTGTCTTTTTCCTGCAGGTGCGTGAAGAACAGACCCCTCTCAAGTCCCTGGAGGAAATCAAGACGGTGTTCCAGCGCCTGAGCTTCTCTCCGTTCTCAGCCTTCTCCATCCTCTCCCCTCCCCAGATCAAAGTCAGCCCCCACAGCCTCGCCCACCGGAAGTTTGCCAGGGGGAAGACTGGCTCGCTGAACTTCCCCCCCTCCAGTAACAGCACCACGGACGAGTCAGAATCAAGCCTGGAGGGCACCCTGGAAACCTCCAGGCTGAGACCTAAACCGGACCTATCTTCTAGAGTCATGGAAGGGAACTCAGGACAGACGGCTGGCAGGGAGGTAAAGGATGATGTCATAGATTCAAAGACGGACGGGGCCAGGCAGGATGCGGAGGACTTGACCCTAGAAGAGGATTGTAAGTGTGAGGCTGATGAAGAGCTGCTGTACGAGGCGGAGAGTCCGGACGAGGCGGCCCTAGTCCACGCGGCCCAGGCGTACTGCTGCACCCTGAGGGGCCGCTCGGCAGAGAGCCTGACGGTGGATCTGCCTGGGATCGGCTCCCTGTCCGTCCCCCTGCTCCACATCCTGCCCTTCGACTCAGACAGGAAGAAGATGTCCGTGGTGGTCCGCCACCCGCTCACAGGACAGGTGGTGGTCTACACCAAGGGAGCCGACTCCGCCATGATGGACCTGACGGGGGCACCAAAAGGTTGTTAACCGAGTGACTGGGAGCTGAAATACTTGGTCTTTGCCTGAAAGGTGTAACAGCAACTTGTCTTTCTGGTGTGTTCAGGTGCAGATGAGGCTCAGGAGATCTACAGACACATCAAAGAACAAACCCAAAACCACTTAGACAGCTATGCCAGAGAAGGCCTCCGCACACTCTGCATCGCCAAAAAGGTAACGCTCAGGAAGGCCAAACAAAATAACTTTGTTCATTAAAAATGATCTTAAACATTTTCTCATACATTATTTACTATAATGGAATCCTCTGGCTATAAACATAAGTTAAGGCGAGACACCCCAGGTGAATAGGGTAATTTTTTTAACTTAAAGGTATCAGCTAGACATTTCTCCAGTTAATTACTTACAATAAGGCAATTGTCTTTTTTATTACAAGTTTTCTGAAATAGCATGTTTAAATATGCAAATTAGCCATTATGTCATCAAATATGTGCATATTTTAACACATTTCAGGAATCGAAATCTGAATTTTGGATTAAGCCAGGTTCAAAATTCTTGTTTCATTTTGTAGTCATATTAGTATCTAAGGCTTTTACAGAAGGGGTATTGTATATCTCTTTTTATCACTCCATAAATCAGAAAATACTGTCAACAGCCCTAAAATATCAATTTTTGCCATGTTTTTAGGTATACAATGTTGTATAATTCAGGCTATGAATGATATATGAACAAACCCTTCTGTAAAAGCCTTCATAATATTGATAGGAATATAACTGGAAGGTTTGGTGTGTCTACGTGCTACTGAAGTTGAAATTTTGAACTCAGAGTAGGAGAAAAAACTCATTTTGAGAAAACGACCTTTAAAGATTGCAGCGAGGCGCTAGCTAAACCCTCCTGTTCTTTGGATGACAGCTTGCGCCTCGACGCACTCCGTGAAGGTATTTCATGT